TATATAAATTTCTATCATATAGACTATAGACAATATACGCTTAGAAAAATTCGTAAACAGATTTCGTTGAAAAAATATATATGTTTACGCAATTAAATATGACAATATATATTATTGTGTACCAAAAAGATTAAATACTTGCAAAACGCTTAAGAAGACCACTCGTAATACTAACTCATTAGTCCATTTATATAATTGTGTTATATAACTGGATATAATTTGTATTCAATAAGTCTAGCTGATTAATTTTGATTTGTTCAATTTATATAATGTCTTTGTTTCCCCCATTAAAAAATTATCTTTTTTTTTTTGTATAATTGCGTAATTAATGATAACACAATATAAAAATATTAATTTTTTCTTATTATTTGTTTTCCTTCAATTTTAAGACGTCATCTATAGATTACATTCACGTTGAAATGTTTGTATTCAACGTTTCATTGATGATCCGGAATTAAGAATTCGTCTCATCTGCCGAGATTAGATTGATTAAAAAAATTGGGTTTAATTGCTTTTAGAGCGATCAAATCTGTTTCACTCTAAAACGTTATTAATTTTATCTGCGTGATAGCAGGGATGTATGGAGCCGAGGCGCGCATAAAACTGACCGGTGCTTCGGCAGATGCTACTAGTCTCTCGTCTGACGTGGTTCGCGGCAAATGTTCGACACGTGCGAGGAAAAATCGCGCGGCACTCGAGTTACGGGAACGAAAAGTTCGCGCGACTGAGAGGGCCGATTTTCCGCCAAAGTGGAGCGATTTCTCGAGCGGTAGCGGAAACAAAACGTGAGTGAAATCAACGAATTGTACGTCGAGACTCTTCAATGTCGTCATTTTCGTCAATCGTTGTCCTGATTCTTGAAAAAGGAGCGACGCGACTTTTGCAACTCTTTAAAAAAATCGGCCTTAAAAATCTATGTATTTGCTTACATAAAAAGATTTAATATAAAGAATCGATTTTTCCCGCCAAATTATAGCGATTTTTCAAGCGGTAGGAAAAAGAAAATGTGGAGTTACATTGTTCATTGATTTCGTTCGCCACTCGCACTCTTTCTCGATTCTTTAAAAATTGCATTTCGAAATCTATATTTGTTTATGTTACAGAAAAATTAAAGAAGCTTTATTTATTTATTAAAAAAAAAAAATGTGAATTAGTAATGATAATAAAAACTATCTACGACAGGATAAACTTACGCTTACCCTTTAGGTTTTGGGATCATAGAAGATTCTGGAATATAGATATAAATATCGTAAATACAATTAGCAGAATTTATATGGCCTTTGTTTTTGCTTCTGTAATATTTATGACGTGGTACCTCGTGTGTAATTAATTCAATGCACGAGCATTCCGCGACGTTACTTTCATAATACTTTCGTGGATTATTATTAGATGTATTCGCCGATAGCACATTTCCTTTTGCTCGAAAGAATTAATACGCCGCGAAGAATCCTCGCAAGAGCACGGAAGAATTGATCTTTTTCTAAAGCAAATATAGGAGGATAACAGGCGCACTGGCGTGTTGATGGAAACATTAAAAAAAAAAAGTCACGAACATACGCGACGTATAGCATGTCCAAGCGTTTTCTTTATATGCTTTGACACGCATTTCCTCACAAAAATCGCTACTTTTCAGCCGGGAGGGGTTTTATTCTGGCATCATGAACATCGATGAATTCCGTGTGCGCGGTAAGGAGATGATCGAGTACATCTGCGAGTATATTCGCACGTTGGAGGGCAAGAGGGTGACGGCGAACGTCGATCCCGGATATTTGAGACATCTAATCCCGAAAGAGGCGCCTCTTAAGCCGGAATCATGGGACGCCATCATGAGGGACGTCGATGGCAAAATAATGCCCGGAGTGAGTTACCTGCCGGCGATTGTAGCTGACGATTATCGATCCTCTTTCTCTCTCTCTCTCTCTCTCGCCATTGATTTCAACCCTTCCCTTCCCCCTCTGCCGATATAAATAATATTCGTGCACGTGAAAGAGAGAAGATAAAGGAGATAAGAACCTAACGTCCTGCCGTTTTCACTCCCGGGGGTTTAGAAAACTAATGACATGATAGATAAATCGCGACGCATTTTGCGACACGGGAAGTTTGTTTCATAGATGTATCCTTTGAAGAACTTGAGCAAAAGTTAAGGTCGAGTGCCGTAATATAAAAGCATATATGATGCAACGCGTATTATGTAAACGTAAACTATGTAGGAGTACAATAGTTTTAACCAATAAAATAATTTTTTACATATAAATAAATATCGTATAGAATATCATCTCAGAAAGAAGATTCACGGCATATATAATATTCTCATTTAAAATTTAAAATATATGTATTTAAGAGATAGAAATTTATTCAATAAAAATTTTTTGCTAAAAATCGTACACTCTCGATATCAGAATTAACATGATTTTTAGGGAGAGATAAAATGTAAGGCAATCTTATACTCTATTGAAATTGTCAAATGAGATAGAAAAGATTTTTAAAAGTAAAAGTAATTTCAGCGACAATCGCGTATATACAAGCAATCAGCCGATTGAAAAACTGAAGGACAATAGCAACGTCACAACGATCCGATCTTTATTTTTGAAGAAGACAACGGCTTCGAGAAACGATGCATCGCGACTTTTTCTACAAACGTTCGCAAAGTCCGTTCTTAACATCTCCAATGCAACGTTTTATCGCGGTGACAATGAAGTTGCTGCTGTCAACCGGCATTTCCGCCATTCATTCCATCGTCCCATTCTTTTCACGGATAAATCAATTTCAAAACATAAAAGTAGGTTACTCGACTTACGCTGGTACGTGAAAACAATGCATTTTGCAGATCACCCACTGGCAGCATCCGCGATTTCACGCCTACTTCCCGTCTGGCAACTCATTCCCTTCGATCCTCGGTGATCTGCTGTCAGACGCAATCGGCTGCATCGGTTTTTCGTGGGCGGCTAGTCCAGCTTGTACTGAACTTGAAACCATCGTGCTAGATTGGTATGCTAAAGCAATCGACCTGCCAGCCGAGTTCTTGTCGGAGCAGAAAAGCGGCGGCGGCGTGATTCAGGGCTCGGCCTCTGAGTGTATTCTGGTGACGATGCTGGCGGCGCGCACGCAAGCAATTAAGATGCAGATAAAATGTAAGGCAATCTTATAATCTATTGAAATTGTCAAATGAGATAGAAAAGATTTTTAAAAGTAAAAGTAATTTCAGCGACAATCGCGTATATACAAGCAATCAGCCGATTGAAAAACTGAAGGACAATAGCAACGTCACAACGATCCGATCTTTATTTTTGAAGAAGACAACGGCTTCGAGAAACGATGCATCGCGACTTTTTCTACAAACGTTCGCAAAGTCCGTTCTTAACATCTCCAATGCAACGTTTTATCGCGGTGACAATGAAGTTGCTGCTGTCAACCGGCATTTCCGCCATTCATTCCATCGTCCCATTCTTTTCACGGATAAATCAATTTCAAAACATAAAAGTAGGTTACTCGACTTACGCTGGTACGTGAAAACAATGCATTTTGCAGATCACCCACTGGCAGCATCCGCGATTTCACGCCTACTTCCCGTCTGGCAACTCATTCCCTTCGATCCTCGGTGATCTGCTGTCAGACGCAATCGGCTGCATCGGTTTTTCGTGGGCGGCTAGTCCAGCTTGTACTGAACTTGAAACCATCGTGCTAGATTGGTATGCTAAAGCAATCGACCTGCCAGCCGAGTTCTTGTCGGAGCAGAAAAGCGGCGGCGGCGTGATTCAGGGCTCGGCCTCTGAGTGTATTCTGGTGACGATGCTGGCGGCGCGCACGCAAGCAATTAAGATGCTGAAAGAGCAGGAACCCAATACGGAGGATTCGGCGTTCCTGCCAAAATTGGTGGCCTATTGCTCTACGGAGTCGCACTCGTGCGTTGAGAAAGCAGCGATGATCAGTCTGGTGAAGCTGCGGATACTCGAGCCGGACGACAAAGCCGCCTTACGCGGTAGACGGCTCGAGTTGGCCATCAGGGAAGACGTGGCGAACGGCTTAGTGCCGTTTTACGTGTCCACTACTCTGGGCACTACCGGGTCCTGCGCCTTTGACAATCTTGTAGAGATCGGGCCTGTATGCAAGCTGTATCCCAACATCTGGTTGCACGTGGACGGCGCTTACGCTGGTAACGCTTTCATCTGTCCGGAAATGAGGCCATTCATGGCCGGCATCGAGCATGCTGATTCCTTTAATACAAATCCGAACAAGTGGTTGCTGGTGAATTTTGATTGTTCTTGTCTATGGGTGCGTAATCGAATGAAGCTCACGTCGGCATTGGTCGTCGATCCGCTTTATCTTCAACATGCTCGCTCGGGAGAATCAATCGACTATCGTCATTGGGGCATCCCGCTCAGCAGACGATTCCGGGCGTTGAAGCTCTGGTTCGTCATGAGATCGTACGGTATCAACGGGTTACAAAAGTACATTAGGAATCACATAAGGCTGGCAAAGAGATTTGAGGCGCAAATGAAGAAAGACAGACGCTTTGAAATCCTGAATGACGTGCGAGTCGGCCTGGTGTGTTTCCGATTGAAGGAGAGCGAAGAAATGAATCAGGAATTGCTGGCCAACATTAATGCATCTGGTCGGCTGCACATGATACCAGCCCGTGTAATGGGCAAATATATCTTGCGCTTCTGTGTGACGAAGGAGGACGCGACCGAAGAAGATATTGATTACGCGCTCAACGTGATCGAGGAGCATGCCACGGAAGTAATGCTGGCACACTACGAAGGCACGGAAGATGAGTACAGAGCAAAGGGTCCAAAGAGTCCGGCTGCCCTCGACAAGAAACTCGTCCGAAAGTTCAGTTTTACCAGGAGCGTTACCAGGGACGTCTACAAGAAATCCATCTCCAAGTCTAGCCTACAGGTAGTATTATCTTTCTTGGCGAATCTTTAGCATCCATCAGTAGCATCAAAGATTTTTTTTTCTATTTCTCTCTCTCTCTCTCTCTTTCTCTCTATGTGTTTTTGTCCATTTTATTTTTAGTGTAAGTTATAATGTTATTTTTTCATCTTTTTTAAATATGATAGAAAAGATTTGTTGACAATAATAATCAGTCGCATATTGGTTTCAGATCGTGACGATGTCGATGACGGTCCCCGGCGCCGGCTCGGGACGACGTAGATGATAATAATAAAAAGGGCCCTCGCTACACGGCCGTGTGATGCGAAACTGTGACGGCCCGCCGTCATCAACTTACTGATTCCCGAAGTCGTATTTATTGACAAGAACTGATTATCGGCAATGGCATCACCACGTAAATGTTTAACCAAGTCATTTGATTTTGATCAAAAATTCATTGGATGCCATGCGAAAAGATTGTGGACAATGGATTGATTGTACGCACTCTCTAAGAGTGATACTTCGTGACAACAAAATGTATCAATAACGCATGCAATGTTGAGTCAAGTTTTGCGATAAAGCGTGAGATTCTTGAAGATATTTTAGACAAAACGTAATTCATGATAAAATTCGATTAAAAAAAATTAATTATAAATGTATATACATATAATTATAAAATTATATAATTTCAAAAATATTCGATTAATATAAAATTTTTCTTCTGTTTTGTTAAAAGCTTTTATAAAGATAAAGATTTCATTATATATATATATACTGAAATTATAAGATAAAGAGAATATTACATTGAAAATATAATTATAATTATATAAAAATATTAATTATAGATAGAATTCTGTGGTACGTACAAATTTCGTTCTGAATTGTGGACAATTTAGAGGCGACTACGCGTATAGTTAACGTATAGTCGTGATTTATTTTGATATATATATATGTCTATATAGAAACAATAGTGAGATGAATTATTGTATATATGTAACATGTGATAATGACTGCCGATGTATGTACAGACTCCAATAATTTTATATAAAATGCTCGTAAATAATAAAAGTGTATCGATTTCAATAAATTTACGCGTGAATTAACTGTGAACGACTATATTGGTTTCGATATATACTGAGTTTATCAGAATTGCGTTTTCCGTCGTTGATACTACTGTCAAGATTACAAAGGAAGATGCGTTATAACGCTGATACATCAACTAATATTTTAAAAAGTACTTAATTTTGAATCTCTGTAAATTCTTAATTTTGATCTTGAATTAAAAAAGAACTAAATAATTAATAAAAAGATATTATTTAATATCGTGTCATAATCAATTATAAATTAACAGATCATGACAAACATTGTGATACCCAACATTTCATTAAAAAATTTTAAAATTATAAAACACATTTGAAAAAATATATTTTATAGCTTTGAGATACTGTATAATGTAATAATAAAATTATATTAGAATTTTTCAGACATCGTGGATATAATCAACATATTCATACATAAGTGATTGAATAGTTATGTAACCGACATCGACCAATGTGGAAATAGATCTTAATTTAAAATAATTGTACATAATCCTTACGACATATAATAAATAAGCGAGAAAATTATGAAACAAAGTTTGGAAAAACAAACAAAATTTACAAATTAAAATTTACAACAATTATAGATTAATAAATTTACAGTTTGAGTCTCATCGAATCGATGCTGATACAAATATATAAATGTATGTGTATGGACAATTCCGATGTGTATGAACAATTCTTTACTTCGATTCGTAAAAATCAGTCTAGATCTATAAAGACAAAATTGAAGAATTACTCGAGATTTCATTATTTACAAACGTACATGATACGTAGAGTCATTATAAAATATTTATATCATATGTACAGATGTTAATAATAAAATTAAAGTTCGTAAGATAACTGAGTGAGTTTTCTTTTATTCACCCATTTATAATTTTAGCTAATAAACATATATGTATATTGTATATATATATATATATATGTATATATATAAGTTTTGTGTAAATATTTAGTTTTGATAAGCTCTACTAAAGATTATAGTATACTTACAAATATATATCTTTTGGACATATAATAAAGTAGCAATTTACTAAATGTGCTACAAATAAAATGTTAATGTTTTTTTTTTGTTTTTTTTGTTTGATTCCATTGTGCATGTTTTCTCTTCCTTTTCTTTCCTTTGACTTTTTTATGAAAGTAATATAATAGCAAGAAAATGCAAATATATTAATGTATAATAAGATAATTAAAAGAAAACCTCTAACTATATAAGTTTTTATATAAATTATAGATATTACACACATATCTTAAAAATAAGTAGAAATAAAAGAAAAGAAAACTAAAATAAAATTCTAATTGGCACATTTTTTATACATATAAATTATTATATAAATGTTGCAATTTTTTAAAACTTTCATATATCAAATTGGATTATTGTAATATCAGAACAAAAGTTCAAAATTGCATATAATAATATGAATTACAAAAATAATGTATGTAAAATTATTGCGTCAAGCAAAGAGAGATTATTACATCTTTTATATAATTCCAAATACATAACAACAATTTTACATAAAATAAAAATTTTATTTTTATGGTTTTCTTTTTTTTAAAGGACAGGCCCATACAATTATATCAATAATGTGAGAAAGAGTTTATACAAGTATAAATAAGTAACACATTACTGCTACATCTGTCCACATTGAGATATCGTAACTGGAATTTTTGGCTTATTATTCGGTCCAGTAGGAACATTTTCCACTTTTCTCATGACGAGCAGACCATCAATCACTCTGCCAAAGACAACATGCTTGCCATCCAAAAAGTTGCATTTGGCGCATGTAATGAAGAACTGACAGCCATTGGTATCCTTCCCGCTATTGGCCATAGACAATAGACCAGGAGAGTCATGCTTCAGGGTGAAGTTCTCGTCTGGGAATGTTCCACCACTATAGATACTCAACACTCCGGTACCATCGCCGTTGACGAAGTCACCCCCTTGTATCATAAAATCCTTGATCACTCTGTGAAAGATGGCTCCTTTGAAACCCAGCGGAACACCATCCTTCCTGTATTCACCGGTGCAGAATTGCCGGAAATTTTCCGACGTCTTCGGGCACACATCCTCGAACAGCTCGAAGATCATACGACCTATTTCTGTGGTGCCTACCGACACGTCGAAGAAGACAACCGGATTGTTGGGATTTCGCAGCTGAGCCTGAATCTGGTTCCACGTAGGCATGCTGCTTACAATGTTCCTTTCCGCAATGCTTATTACAATTGTCACCCACGGCAATTTTGAGATGTTTAATCCACTCTAGAGTGCGTCAGATAGAAATATTCTACCCAATTCATGAAATATTTACGTAGACAAATATAACCTCAAAAAAATCACGCGCGATTACAGGTTAGATTTCTCTTGGAAATCAACTTTGCAGCGTATAATTCGCGCAGAGAACGATCTATCACTGGTCTTAACAAGCGATACCTGTGATAAAGAATGAGCTTCGTGTTAAACTGCGCAATAATGTAAACGTATTTTATCGTAAATACTCCTTTCAGCGAGACCGCGTAAACGGCGATACACAGCGTTCAAATGGAGGTTAAGGTCTTACGGTGTGCTAACTCTTTCAATAATTAAAAGAAAGTTCATTTCGTTGAGTAATATACGAATATTATTAAAGAACAATTAATAATAAGGAATGAGATAAATGCGCTTTTGTTCTCGTGGTATTTTGTAAATAAACATCGCAGTGGCGCTCATTTCAATTTATCTTACCTTGCTCGGTGAAGAACCCGACAATAGTCTCGATAATCAAACGGCGACAAGACTCGGTTCTTTCCTCGAAATATCCTCCGGTATTACCGCAGCAAGATTCGGGATGATAAGTACACACTCGCCTAGAAATTTCAAATTTAAACAACGTGACCAAACCTGACAATTGTTCGCGACAAACTGCGCGCTTATGCACAGTTGTTTATTACCGGCGAGAACACGTGATTGCGCGCGATTCTTTTTTCCTACAACGTACATACCATGTTTCTTTCGAAATTGCTCGAAAGACGTGTTTGTTTCAGTCGTACTCTTTGCACTTTGTTTCTCTCCTTTATTAGATATTTGTTTTAAATGGACTTAAATAATTGCGTCAAAGTGATATATACACAGAAAAATCGATCAATCGTTCATACGAAAAACGCAGCAACATGGCGTACTTTGCGCTAGACCTGTGATTGGTCGATTTCTCCATGCTTTGACTACGTTCCAGTTAGCGATCACAATAATCACGAGTATCATCTGTCTTCGTTTAACTTTTAGTGAATAATAAGGATATAATTTCAGAAGCGTTAAGTGGAACGTAGCCAAAAAGTAGTTGAACAAATTACTTAACATTTTAAGTCATATATATATATACGTACAAATACTTGAAATTATTTTATATAAAAATGTTTACTTTTTAAGTGTTTCTTTTACTTTTATATACTCGTTTTTTATCAATTTTGTTATGATATTATATTTCTATACTCTTATTTTATACTTTTCTTTTTGTTATTCCTAAATTATCAATTTTAATACAATTGTACACGATACATGAATACAATGATATACAACGGTGGCATATAATTAAACATGTATGAATAAATAATGAATACATACATAATAAATGATGGATGGTTTTACAAAATAAAATACACTTTATTTTCCTATTGCACACCTCATATTTTACAGTTTCAGTATCATTCGATTCTACTTGGATATGACTCTTTATTGGTAACATAAGTTGCACAAACAGAAATATATATGTATATAAAACTGTAACACATGCCGGACTGCAGATCTTGTTTATTTTCTCAGGATATGTAGCTTTTTTTCAAGAATATCGATAATAGAATGTATCTACTTGGTTTTACACACACAATTCATTCTTTAGAATTATTTTACCACATGTATACCATCTAAATGCATGAAAACAACTTGTAACGTTTATTAATATTCTGGAAAAGGGAAGGACATATATATATTTTGTGCTAATCTATTATTAATCGTTAAAATATCATTGTCTTACAAACATGTGGAAATTAATAATCTAGAGATAAAAGACAATGTAATCATTGGCAAATAATAATTATTGTAATACAATAATGTACTGTTTTATAAACAGTAATTAGAAAAAAAGCATTTAACTAGAAGTAAAGATTCATATGTCTGTCCTTTACAGAAAATACCTTTTTTTCATCAGAGGTATGTTTAAAATAAAGATAAAATATAAAATGATAAAAATATAAAATGTAATTAAAATTGATATACATTGATTTGATGTAGATGTAATTTCTCGACACAAAAAAAAAAAAAGAAAAAAAAAAAAGAAATGCCAACAAAATGTGCCTTTGTATTTATAACACGTATTTATCTGAGATTATCTAAAAAAATATTCTTATGGTAATTTCCTGTTTGATAGAAATAAAAAGATTGCATTTCCATGTCAAATTATGAAATGTTACATTTGACAAACCAATTTCTTAATTTTATGATAAATGTTTTGCTACACTGTAATAAACCATTAAACATCTCGTAATGTTTTTTATAAAAAAAAAGAAACAAAACATACAATTAAATTTAAAATAAAAATTAGAAATCTTTATAAATTAAAAAATACGTATATGACGTTTAATTATAGCATTTTCTAATGAGATTAGATATGTGTATCTTATATAATTAACTAAAATGTGTATTTTTTTGAAAACTAACTTTATGCACATCAACTTTGTAACAAATGTACATAACGTTATATCTCTTTTCACAGAAACTAAACTTGTTTAAAACATGTTACATATAAACAGAGCATTATAAATAAATTCTGTACAATATAAATTTTTCAATGGTAAAGAATTTGTCGTATGTACATTTGTTACTGTCTACAGAGTTGTATTAATAGCGTGTGGAATATCACAAGCAATGCAATGAACAGCAAAGTGTAACAGTGGTAATTATATGTGAACCTTAATATGTTCTTTCAGCATATTTTTGTCAGCGAAAGTTTCTTCGCAGATCTCGCAAGTAAAATCCTCTCCATCGTCACTGTCATGCGGTTGATACTGTACAACTTGGATAACATGAGATGTCTCTTCCTGAGATGTTCCCACTAAAGTATCTTGTTCGTCTTGATCTATTTCCTCTTTTAAGGTTTGCTCAGTCATTACGTCCATAGGTATATCAGTACTGCTCACTTGTATGATTTGGCTGGAGTAATTTTCGTGGCTCTGGGGATTCGGTATCGCTAAAACAGGTAGCGATTCGTTCTGTTTCGATATTATATTTAGAGTATTATTTTGTTTAGAAGATTGAATTAAGTGCATTGTGGATATATCGTTTTGTCTGATTGTTTCATCGAGCGCATTGTCTACGGATTCTGTCGATACAATGTGCGCCGCATCGTTTTGCTTATCCATAGCAATCATATCGAGAGCATTTCGGTGATTCTGATCCACTTGGAGTACATGAATGTTCTCGTCTTCCTTGCCTTCTACGATGAACCGTATGTTGCTGTGCTTAAGCTCGGATATCGCTATAAAACCGTCGCTACGTTTTTCCGTGGTGACCACAACAAAGGCGTTGTTCTGCTTCTCGTTCATAACATGCAAATCGTCCGATTTATCAGATGTATCGGTGATGGATAATAAAGCTTCATTTTGTTCCGTCTTGGAGATGAAATGCTCCAAGGCAGCATTTTGCTTTGCCCGCGCGTTGCACGATGACGTTGATTTCGATGATTTCTTCTTCATTGGCTTCGACTTCGGAGAGGCATCGTTGTTAGTCTTCGCCTTTGCCTCGGCTATCATCTGATCCGAATGCTTAACGATATGTGCGCAGAGTTCATCGCGGTCTTGATTGAGAGCACCGCACAGGGGACACGGATACGGAGGATTGCTCGCTTCTGTCTCGTTTTTTCCCGCGGCGTGGACCCATCGAACGTGTTCGCGCAGGACTACTTTCTGATTAAAAGCCCTCGAGCATAACGGACACACGTGTGGTCTTTCCCCGGTGTGAATCCGTTCATGCTTCCTCAAGGTCCCGCCATCCCGAAACGCTTTCCAACAAAACTTGCAGCCATACGGTCGTTCGCCGGTATGCGTACGATTGTGTATTAAATATCCTTGGCGAGACGAAAAGGTTTTCGAGCAAGTGTCGCATTGAAAATGCGCCGGGCTCCCAGCGTGCGTTCTACCGTGCTCCCAGAGACCTTGTCGCGACACGAAGCTCTTTCCGCATTCAGTGCAAGTGAACGGCGAATCTCCGGGATGTGCAGACAATCTATGCTCGTCCAGCTCGTTTTGCTTCTCAAACTGCGAACCGCATACTTCGCACGAGTGTGTTTTTTTTCGGTGGATCCACTGATGACGAAACATTTTCTGCTTGGTCGTGAACTTCTTTCCGCACTCGGAACAAGCATGCTTGCCCCACTTGTTGTTGGGCACGCCTTGTTCTATATTGTTCTGCATTATCTTCTTGGCGCAAGTGATCTGATGGTTCGCTAAATGATTCCCGTTTTGAAACTGTTTGTCGCAATACGCGCACTCGATCGGCATGTTCCAGTTTTTAGAAGTGTGAATCTTCTCATGAGATGCCAATGCAGTCGCACGTGAAAAATTGATCCCGCAATGCTTGCACGTGTACTGTTTACTGCTGTTTGTTTCGACTTTTCCATAACTTTTTCTATTCGCGTTATTATATGAAAGCGTTTCGACTTTGACTATTCCGTCGGGAGTATTAAACGAATTTATCGATATATCATAGTGTTGACTGTTATTGACTGGATTACTGATATTATTTTGCTCAGTATACTCGCTGAATTGTGTCACTTCACCATTAGGCATTACCGTAAATTCTTGTAGCGTATCCATCTTCTCCTGATGATTCGATATTGTGGTAACTGTCGATTGTTCGTTATGAAAATTGTATGATGAGACCGGCCATTGAACTTGACATACATCATAATTCTGTATAGATTGAACAGATGAAGAAGATGGCATCTGAGATGTATTCTGCGAATCGGACGCATTCTCCGACCACTTCCTAAACGTTTCCACTGATTGAGATATATTATTCCCTTGTGACTGCATGATCGCTCGTCCCGCGACGTACGTATGTATCTTCATGTGGTTAGATAAGCTGGAGGGCCTCTGAAAGTCCAAGCCACAGATAGTGCATTTGTGTGGACGTTCGACCTGATGTACCTGCAGCATGTGTGCTTGCAGACTGCTTTTAGAACGAAACAAATTGCCGCATGTTCTGCATGCGTGAGGACGATCCACCTGATGACATACCATATGATTATTCAGGTCAATCTTTCTCTCAAATCTCTCACCACAGGTGATGCAGGATAGTTTAGACACTGTACATACAGACCGATGTTCAACCATCTCTTCTTGGGTAAAGAGACACTTACAGATTGGACAGCTGATTTTCTTGTTTTCAAAGCATGGATACATACCGCCCAATTGACGCAGAGCTTCCACAGCCAGGGATTCGTCGTCACCCGACGTGTACTGCTGCTGCTCCTCTTGCTTGATGTACATTGGATACACTACCTGATTGTCATCCTCTTCATCTGATCGTTCCGTAAGAATTTCAACAGCCTCTTGCGACTCAGCAATATCAGTATTGTTAGCGTTGCTGACTGAGACTTCCGTAAGGTCCTCCTGGAGGACACATTCGTCAACGCATTCGACAGGTTCACATATCTCCTCGTGAGATATCATATTCTCTTGTATGGCATCATGTACACCGTCGAGAGGAAACGTCACGTACTGTTCGCTCTCGTGAGTTTCCATTTCATTTGTCACTTACTGACGTTCTGTCAACGTTACGTCAACGTGAGACGTATTATAACATGCACGAGGCAATGCTTGAGCAGAACCTAGTTTCACCTCAAGCTAAGTCTTGTAGGTTAAGTTGGGTCCTATCGTTGCTAGCAAGACAAGCTGTCGTGTATTCGAGTGTTATTACGTATATTAGTGTATATTATCATGCCACGACGATTTTATCATGCGCGATTCGCAGCCAATGAATAAAATATATTTTCTTCTTCGTTCTGCGAGCATAGGTACCGACTATGTCTTGCACACACAGAGAGATATACTTTTATATACATTTTATTTTTTTATTGTGATTTAAAGATCTGCATGATAATGTAGAATCGAAAGAATTATTCAAATTCAATTTCTGAATGTCTCAAAAACACTATATAGGAGCTACAATACTGCGAGGTTATCTGCAAAGCAGTGACCCACATCGGATATTACCTGAAGTTGTGCGATAATGACGTCAGAAAGGCAACTGAAACGAATAAACAATCCCTATAAAAACACGCGACAAATTTCATACTATTTGTTTCTGACATGTGGTTCAAAGGTTATTTTTCTCTTTTTTTGTGAATGACAGGTCAAACGATTAAAATATATATATATATAATAACAGTAAATCTTTTAAACATTAATTTTGTAACGGTTGAAGATTTAACTAAATGTGCATATGTAGTATTAATTCTGTCATTATTCAATCAGAATTTGTGGTACACAATGAACATGAAACGACAGGAAGAAACTTTGGCGGGTTGGAGCATTATATGGTGGTTGTTTAAATTATTCGGTATTCCAATAACCATCCCTTGGCTGATATATCACTTTATCGACATTGTGCAGCAAAAACGGAAAAGAGCAGCTCTTAGCAGCAAGGTAATATATATCTTTTTACATTCTTTTTAAGAGAATAAAAAATAGAATTTTATGATGTAAATAAAATATTTTTTGAGATATATGTTAATATTCAGAGATTCGAATATTTTTATGATTTTATGATTATGTATATATTATTTAATGTAATTCAGGTGGTAATGATAACTGGTGCCAGTTCCGGTTTGGGAGAAGCTTTAGCTCATACATTCTACCGCTGGGGTTGTAGAATCATCTTGGTATCTCGCAGAAAAGAAGAACTGGAGAGAGTAAAAAATGATTTGATAAATACCCATCAAGTACGTTCTATAATATATATTTTAGTAGGCAAATATATATGTAGAATATCAATCATTTCTTGCTCTTTTCAGACAGTTCCAACTCATCTACCCATTGTTTTGCCATTAGATTTAACTGACATTAATAACTTGAAAGATAAAGTGTCAGAGGCTATAATGGTATATGGCAGAATCGATATTTTAATAAATAATGCTGGCATTTCATATAGAGGCGAAGTTATTAATACAAATGTTGATGTAGATATAAAAGTCATGCTGTCAAATTATTTCTCTCAAGTTGCATTGAGCAAAAGTAAGTGTATCATATAAAAAAATTTTGATACAGATTTTGTAACAGACTCATTATTCATTATTGATTTGCAGTTGTTCTTCCATTCATGATAGAACAACAGTCTGGCCATATAGTTGGTATAAGTAGTGTACAAGGGAGAATTGCTATTCCATTTAGGCAAGTATTTAATTAAAAATCAATATCAATTATCTTAAGATTATTTATATTATTAATACACAATGTTTGCAAATTTTTAGATCTGCGTATGCTGCATCTAAGCATGCATTACAAGCTTGGTATGATACCGCTAGAGCAGAATTGTTTGACAAAAATATTAAGTTTACAGTTGTTAATCCAGGGTACATTAAAACATCTCTTTCTCTTAATGCTTTAACAGGAAATGGACAAGTATATGGATGTTAGTATTTAAAATATTATAAATGCTAAATATTAATACTTTATATTGTCTATATGATTCTATAATATTATTTTATTATATAGTAATGGACAAAACAACTGAGAGTGGTTATCAATCAGAGTATGTAGCTGAATGCATTTTAAAGTCAGTATTGAAGCAAGAAAAAGAAGTTACTATTGCACCATTTTCCCCAAAGGCTGCTATAGTACTTAGAACTTTATTTCCTTCGCTCTTTTTCTGGATTATGCAAAGACGTGCAAAAAAATCAGCAAAGAATACATAATCTTAAACTATTTAAATACTATTTAATTAAAAATAGAGTATAATTGATTGTTTTCTATAATTGTGGGATGGATTTATATGTAATATATATCTTTTGTATAAAATAAAAAATTAGAATGTTAGAAAGAAGAATGTTAAAAAGTTCTAATTTAATATGAATATAAAAGTTCTAATTTACATGAATAAAGACTGTATATAATTTTGAGCAACTATGAGCAAACTGCTTCTAGTATATTCGTATAAAAAAATAGAGGGAATAGGAGGTAAACAAGATAAATTATTCAAAAATTGTTTTTAACACTTGTAATTTTCTATAGATTATTGAAAAAGGATAGCATATGTATTTAATATTAAAATGATAATTTATTTAAATTTTGACACTTCATTAAATTTTCTTTATTTATGTAAGTAATATAAACTTACTTAAAATATATAATAGTTTTTTAATATATATATATATAACCTCTGAAAAATGTATCTATTGTAATAAAATCTAAAACCTGTTATCAGGCAGATTTATCCATTTTAATTTGCAAAATTCTGTATATATAAATCACATGTTTGTTAGCTTATTTGTTCTACTCTTTATATAATGAAATAGAGATTATATGTAAAAAAGCATATATAATAAAAATTTATGTTGAATAAAATGTAATTAAATATGATGTTAAACTTAACATCAAATAATTACACGTACTTTCATTTAAAATGTTACACGATATTTTATATATGTTGTTAGTACGTAGCTGCCTTATACATACAAATGTACAACATTTGATATATGTTGAAAAAAGTTTTACAGATCTGAAAATGACTGCATTTTCTGTTCTAATACCTTGTTCTATGTGCAATGGATTTTCTTTCTTGCAGTATTGTAATTTATTAATCTAGTACATTTGGAGAAACAAGTCTTTAATAGAAATATAAGTTTTTCTGCGCTTCATATATAAAATAGAACTCTTTAGAATGAAATCCAAATGGATTTTCAAATATTGATCTTACCACTCTTGTTTCTCTGACTTTTATGCTATATTTTACATAACAATATAACAAGGATATTTTAAAGTATATAGGTTATAAATTTGATTTCTAATTATTATTAGAACAATATTCAGAACTATGTACACTGTTCATATTTTGAGCTCTTCTGTCGATGTACATACGAGGGAACGGTTTCATGTTCATGTGACCACAAATTTTATATTATGTGAAAAAAGTTCACATATTGTGCAATGTACAGGATTTTAACTTTTATTATCATTAAACATTTACAGGAATGTATGTAATAGTTTCCATTTGATAGGACTAATGTAAACGATAAAAAATTTTATACGCGCGCGTTTATAATGAAAAAAATATATATCTTACTCTACATATTGTTGGTTAATAAAATAATCAAAGCTTAAAAAAAATACATTAAGTTTTTAGTAGTCAACTTATTCTTCTGATATTATGTCATATAGATTGTTCTGTTGGGTGAGAAAATCTAGGCAACATACCCTTTGACATGTAATATGTACTGTGGGTGTTTTTTTATTCTCTTTCTACCTATTTTATATTTACAATCTAAAAATACATAATGCTAAATCCATATGTTCCGTTGCAAATGTCATAATTCTAAGAACACTTATGTCAATATCTTTTTTTTTTCCTCCAGTTTAGAGACTGCATATATATATATATATAGCTTTTGCAACTTTGTAATACAGTTATCTTTCACAATTTTTCCCAGGTGGAGATCAAAGAATATAACAATGTAAAATCTTAAGGAAATGACATGCCAATGTAAAAACTTGGATAAAATCTGGCTTTTGTTACTTGCATTTATGTGTAGTTTAGTCAGATCACATAAGCAGGACTCACCTGTAAGGTAGTATCAAAGAATACGAATCAATCATCAAAATGAGAAATAAAAATAGAGAGTTTGCATTCTTATTAATTAAAAAGTTCTGTAGATCTACTATTGTGAAACTTAAACATAATATTTGGCTCACCTTATTGTTTCGTTCTGGCTTAAAACCAATGCCAGTAATAACTCTTTCACTTAAACGCCTGGTATACTCTCCAGGCAGTAATGCTGAGGGCTGCCAATGTAATAGTCGTATGAAGAATTCGTCTCCTCGTGTCATCTTTTCTTACAAGAAACGTGGGAGACGAAGGACCTAAAACAGCTAACAGCTCTACATGTGGTAATTTGCTGGTATCAGTCTCTACTTGATATTGGCAACAAGGATCAAATTGCCAAGAGACTGTATATAATCCACAAGTTATAACTGCTGTAAAACCTAGTGGACCACAGATGTATGGCCGATCGCCCCAAAGTACTCCTAAAAAAAACACATGCATTATAAGATATATATATATA